GCCGTCAATCTGCCAATCTGATCAATTCTTGACTGTGGGTATGCACTGATGGTTCCTCTGACATCGATATCTCTCTTCGCAGTCTGTCTTCACCCGCATTGCCCTCTCCTTTCTTGGCAATCTGGCTCTAACGGTGGCCTACATGCCTTTATCTTTATGATGATACATTTCTTATTCACACAGTCTTTTATAGAAACCTTCAAAGGTAAACAGCAGTGCTTTATAGTAAGCAAAATCAAAACAATTCACATCGAAGGCCTGAGCCTTCAATATTTCTAATCTCCTTAACATAGACACAATACCAAAAAACTCTATTTCTTTACTTACTAAACTTTAAAACAAAACAAAAAATTAACTAAAGGGCTTAATTAATAAAATATTTAATGTTACCTTACATTACTATATTATTAAACCTAAAATGCAAATATAAAAAGATATAACACTCTCACTCCAACACCCTGACCTAGAGTGTAAGACATTAGTTTCACATGTCATAGCCATCAATGCTTTAAACATTAGCCAGTGGCTTGCAGCATTTTGGGGAAGCCATAGCAGGTTGGAAGTCTGTGGCAATATATGAATACAGAAGTTTAAAAAATGTAAGAATATGTTTAGCTGCTAACACTAAATGTCTTACCAATGGTATGTGACATGGAGAGCTTTTTAAAAATGGAAAATCTGGGCTTGAAGTTACTAACACCTTTCTTTTGTTCGGGGGGGAGGGGAGTAGGCTAGGCATGTGTTTCTGAGCATCTTCATGTTATGCTCCTATGCGTTTCACCAAGGCTAAAACGAAAAGTGTGAGAAAGATTGGCAAGTTGGCATGGAAATATGCCATAGTGCAAATGACACTGAGAATACTGGGAGTTTTGTTCTTAAATCAGTTTATTTTTGCATGACTTTAGAAATTGGTTTATGTAATAGATAATTTTTAACAAAACCCTCTTTTATCTTGACAAAGTAGTTTTGTAGTGGTACAGCATGTCATACAAAATGTATTGAGCCTTTTTTGTTGTGACAGTAACTTGCATTTTTCTTTGCTTGTAATATCAACTTTTTTAAAGTAATTTTTTGGGGAATTTTAGAATGAAAGAAACAGACCCTTTTATTGGCACATCTTGAGCCACAGAGCTTGAAAACCATTATACTTTGTCAAAATATAGCTGTCTAACTTCACTTGATTAGCTTAGTTTTAGGTTCAACTACTGCTTATTAGGTAAGTGTTTAAATGGTTGCATTTTTACTTCCCTACTGTAAGATAGTCCCAGTCTTTCCTGTTGCCTTTCATGATCTTTTCCCTGTTGTTAATCATTCTAGTCACCTGTCTCTCAACTTATTTCTGCCATCTCCTGATAGAATGTATTCCACCTAGGGGCATTCTGTTGATTTGTGGAATTCCATTATGGTATCCTTATTTAGTCTCTTCCCATTCAACTTTACATTGTTTGCTCTTTTGACCATGTTGAGCAGAAGACTTCACTGAGCTAGTAAGTGATGTGCAGGTTTCTTTTCTGAATTGGTAGTTCACTCTGAAGTTCCTGGAAATTCTCCAGTACTGACAAAGCTTCATGTCTTCTGCAAACTTTGTTGCCTTGCTACTCCCACCCTCTTCCCATTAATATGAATGTACCAAACACAGCCATTT